CCCCAAAACCCCAAAACCCCAAAACCCCAAAACCCCATCGCTGAACCAGTCGCTTGAAAACACAAATAATTTAACCTCCAAAATTTCCCCTCAGCCACAGAAGAACTACTCAGATTTTTTAATTTTGAAGAAGCGGAAGAAGGATTTTAGGAAGAAGACTAGTCATAAGTAAAGGAAGAGAAGGGTTTTGGGAGAAATATGCAGTAAGAGTATTAACTTGTTGGTCGCAATCCTGAATATTTTACTAATTCTTCGTCATCGAGGTTTTGGGTTAGAGGAAGCATATCGTTTTCGTCGATTTGACCTTCGATTCGGCTTCCTTTACTCCCTGATTTCTTGTGGATGTAGTCTTTGATTTGATTAGTAGGTCTTGCGGAGTTCCTGCTCTTTACTGGGGCTCCTTCAATGCCTGTGAAATTTGATTGAGGAGATTCTTTAAGTAAGAGTTTTTCTATTTTGCCTTTCTGTAGCCTCCTAGCTAGCTTATCTACTATATCTCTATCTCCTTTGCTTGTTCTTGTCCTAATAGCTTGAGGTTGAATTAGCATATCCTAAAACGTTCTAAAATGGCGAAAATACCTTCTGAGTAGCGTTATGGAAGTTACCTCTACTCCCAAGCTGTTGTCTTGGAGGAGATATCGATCCAGGATGGTAGTTCAGCTTTGTCCTACTTCTACTGTAAACAATATTGTCATTATTAGTATTGCAGATCCCTTGATAAGTATTCCTTATCATTTGCTTCTGTGTATCAATGTTGTTACTATTATGCCCTCTCATGATGATTTTGGTAAGCCTCCCGTCTCTATTCATCTTTCTAAGTATAATTCTAGCATAAAATACCTGTTGATCTTACTGAAGTCAACATCATCGCCTTGAGTTGAAAGAGGTTCACCAATTTTTGAGTCAGAGAGAATCTTAGATGACTTAGCCTTCATCTTAGCATTTGTGATATGAGGGGATTTCTGGATCCCGAAGTTAGAAGACAGCTTCTTAATTCCAAGAGATCGCTTCTCTTTAATTTCCTCTTCTTGAAAGTTCTCCTTAGAGGATATCTTAGGCAAGCTACTTCTTAAGTTGCTGTTTGTGAGGGAATCTTTTCGACTATAAAGTTATACCTAAATATTTACTCATTGGAATATTTCCGGGCTTTATATCTGGCTTTCATAAATTTGGGAGGCTGACTCTTGATCCTCATCATTCCCTCTGAAGTAACTTCAAAGTTTTCATTAAGCTGAGGATTATTCGAGAACTTCTTAGTAGAAGATTTAAAGTACTTATTTTCCTTGGAGGAGGCACGCACCTGGTCTGCAGAAGATCTGAATCCTTTGGAATTTTGGTCCTTACTTTCCTCGTTCTTCATAGCCATGCTCATAGATGGGTCAGTCCTGAAGAAATCTGGTTTTTGTGTATGGATTTGCTTTATTTCGAGTGTTTTAATAGTACCTGCTGGCTTAGTGTTCATTAAGTAGTTGTTCTTCATAACTTCGCTATTTGAAATGAGATTATTAGGATCGTTAGAAGGACTTCCTAGCTCAAGCTCTTTAATTTCAAGAATTTCGTCGTTTGGAGGCTCATTTTTATTTAAATTTGTTTCTAATTCCTCCTTCACAGATTTTAAATCATTCATGTTGGCTGTTATTACTTTATAAGGAGGCTGATAGTTCTTGGGAAAGTCATTTATTTTATCTCTCTTCTCACTCTGAAGATTAGATTGAGGTTTTGAAGAATTTGCAGTCACAATATCATTGCTCCTTTGAGGCCTCTTAAGCTCCTCTTCTAGGACAGAGTCTTTGTAAAAAGGTGGCTTTCCTGCAACTTTTGGCTTATTCAAAGATTGCTCACTTGATTTAGAATTCTCTTTAAATTTTTGATAATTATCATTTGACTTGAGATCTTTAGATTTAGATCTTGCTAGTGAACTTCCCATTATGAAAAACTTCTTATTGTTTATCCTTAACTGAGAAGAAGCTCTGATTCTCCGACTCCGAGGTGTGATCATCTTATTGGTTTTCTGCTTCTTCCCACACCCGAAGCAGCTACCAAACGAGGATTTATTCTGATTAGCTTCGAATAGGAAGGTGTCAGTAAGAGAAGCGAAAGCATCAGCGAGGATATTGTAAGAGTCAAGTATGACTTCAGTACCTATCTGCTTCATTCTAGCATCCTCTGAGATACTTTCTGAGCTGTTACTTTGGGAAAACCTAAGAGTTATTTAAGAGAATTACCTCTCATCTTTATCTTCCTCAGGAGTGGTATGCTGGTTATTCTGGTTCTGATTCTTAGTGGTTGAGTCCTCAAACTCATATTCCTTCCTTGCAATAAACTTCGGTGCTTTCTCTTTGGAGATAGCCATGTAATCAAATGGGAGCTTATTCGGGACAAACTGGTTGATCTCTGATTCAGCTGTATGATTAGAAATAGGGATATATTTACTCTTTATCTCAAGATTATTCTTCCTTTGAGATGTAGCAGCAGTTGTTTTCACTTCGATCGTTTTGACATCATTTATGTCTGGAACTTTGGTCCTTTGGGTACAGACTCCACTATTTTTGGAAAACTGGTTATTTCAAGTTCTTCAGGTTTATTTTATCCTTAACATTATTTCTGACTACAACGGTATCGAACTCGCCATTAGGCTTTTGTATACTTTGCTTTTTGCTATCAAATATATCAGATTCTGTAAGGATGGTATCTTCTGAATTCTGGTATCTATTCTGGATCTCTTTCTCCTCTAACTCAAGGAGAAGAGTGTCAAGAGACTTGTTGCCTTTTTCCTGGTTAACAATATCCATTATTTTCACAGCACATTTGGAAATATAGTCTGCCTGGTTCTTGTTAATATGGTCAGATTGAGAAGCCATCTCTTTGGCAACCTTATAGATCTCTTTAGTGATTATCTGAAGTTTTTGGTGTTCATTCTTGTTCTCTTTAATAGCTCTTCTGACATTTTGAGGTGTCTTTACGACATTGCTGTCATATTGACTATTAGAATCATCAAAGGAACTATCGTTAATGGAGGAAAGAGCATTCGGCATTTTATCTCTTTCATATTTTTCAAAATTAAGGATTGTTGCACTGTTCGACCCGCTCTCGCTCATTGGGAGACTTGATATATCTTGACTTTCCTTTACTTTAGACTTCCCCTTCTTTTCGTTCTTGGGCTGATTTGCCTGTTTGAAATGTGCTTTCAGATAACTATTTTTAGTCAAAATTCTTACTTGATAATGTCATTTTCGTTTATTGAGACATTTGAATGAGAGTCACCACGATTCTTAACCTGATAGTTAGCCGAATCAGAATCTATCACTGTAATATGTCGGGGAGAAACTGTCGGGGCTAGAAGGTGTCACTAGTGTAAATAAATTTAACCTACCTCCCTTAAGTTTTACCAGACTCTTAGTCTCTTCGTGAAGGTCAGAATTTTCAGATGAGGAGAATACAATATGCTTAGTTTGTATCTTCTCAAGGCGAGTATTTCCATCTTCCTCTTCAGATTCCTCTTGCTCGTGAGTGATCCCGACAGAGCTATCGCTTTGGTCTGAAGAATGCTATTAATAATTTGTTAAAAATACCTGAATATTGAGATTCTTGCCTTTCTCTTTTGAAAATCAGGCTCTAAATTTAAGTGCAAACTCTAAGGTGTTTAAAGTCTGCTGAAAGTGTTCATTATTCTGGTTCACAAAACTTATTAGGTTAATATTTGAGTCAACTTTTAGCCTGTGGGATACCACTTTGGAGATGTTCCGATCCTCAATCAAAGATACATCATTGAGTTCGTATCCTTCTGTTCTTGCTTCATCAATTGCTAACAAGAGATTTCGAAGAGCGAATAAGTCTGAATGGCAATGGGTTTCTATATTTTGTTTTCCGAATCTTACCATCATCGAAGTCATGGGTGCTATCAAGTGGGATGTCAACATGTCCACCCATTATTCTTTCAGTGAAACTTTGGTCAAATCCAATTACATCAATGAATGTGATCTGGTTAGTTGTGCTCCTACAATAGTATTGGGATTAAGAATGATCATTATAATGAATAGGTTTATTGATCTAGCTTATTCTCTTAAGTTAGAAATCTTTCGTAACTTACACAGTATCAACTCAATCCACTTGGACCTTTATGGTAGTGATCAGATGGCCTAATGCCTTTTTAAACTTGGCTTCTAAAATCTCTTTTCTCCACTTGTTACACTCCTTAAGGGTGTTGCATTCCTTCCATTCAGTCTCTTCACACACTTCATCATTACGAATCTGGAAAGAGTTTAGGTCAATTTTAAATGAGCTGATAGCAGATTTTCTCCCTTTAGCAGTAGCTTCATCTTGCTTGGTTTGATTTTCATTATTCTGGGACATTTGGGCATTTCATTTATCAAAAATGGCAGAGATAGCTTCAGCGAAGATCGAGTCAGGATGTCTGAAGAAATACTCAGATTTATTACAGCATTTCTCTCCATAAGTGATGATGCAGCTATTCTCATTATTAGAAATCATTTTATCAATCAGTGGTCAAACAGCTTCTTTATATACAGTGCTCTGGTCCGGAGCAGGAGTAAAGATTTTATCAAATTCATATATCTTAGTGAGATCGTTTGAATATTGTATTTGGATTTCTTTATCATTAACTCGAGTCACTCTATATTTCAAATTATTTAGCATCAGAATGACAAAATAAAGACCTACTTTGTAATATCTTCCTCATGCTCAATTTCCTTGTTTTTAGCACTTAAGGGTGAACATGGACTTCCTTTCATATTCACTCTATGATGAGGAGAGAGAGGAAGGGGAGGAGATATTATTGTATATACTTTTGCTTTAATACAATCTTCAGCCATTTCTTACAAATATTAAAATTACTATTTTTATTCATATTAATTCCATTTATTTTTTAAAAATGGGGTTTTGGGGTTTTGGGGTTTTGGGGTTTTGGGG